CTTTTTTGTATATAATTTATCTATTTTTAGTAATAATTTGTGCACATTTTATGTTGTGTAATATGTGTACACAAAAAATTAATGTGTACATGTGCACATTGTGCACATAGATTTTACACACTGTTCTTCATCATCATTCGAACAGAATGATGATTCTTTTATCATTTGATTTAATTGAACGATTCTTCATCATCATTCAGAATTGAACAATGATTTTTATCATTTGATTTGATTGAACAATTTGTCATCATCGTTCAGAATTGAGCGATGATTTTTATCATTTAATTTGATCGAACAATTCATCATCATTGTTCAGAATTGAATAAAGATTTTTTATTATTTGATTTGCATCGAATGATTTGTCATCATCATTCAGAATTAAATGATAATTTTATCATTCGATTTGTATTGAATGATTCTTCATCATCATTCAAACTGAATGATGATTCTTTTATCATTCAATTTGCATCGAATAATTCATCAATGTCGTTCAGTATAGATTTATTTATTATTTTTATATATAAAATACATTTATTTTAAATTTTAAGTTTACAAATGTAATTTTATTTTACTAATTATTCTAGAATTTACTTATACAACAAATTGATTTAACATTTCTTTTCTTTTAAATTCTCCTTTTAACTTCAAAATCTCATTACTTTCATTATCAAAATCATATTGATTATTATTATCATAATTATTCTATTCTATAATTTTCCAAGTTTCGTCACTCATTTCAAGAAAATTATGTAATATTATAATATAATCAGCTAAATTAATAGCTGTTTTTAAACCTTTAATAGAGATTTCTTTTAAAGCTCTAAATTTAACTTTCAATTTACTAAATGCATATTCTACAACAACCCTATGCTTTGAATAAATAAAATTAAACTGACGTTGTCTATGATTAGAAGGATTTTTAAAAGAAGATATAAAAAAAGGGAAAATTGGATATGCTGAATCACCTAACACATAATCTTCATCTTGAATATATTTCTGTTCTATTAAGATAAAAATCTGAATTGCTATAACATGTACTAATTCAAGCCATCCTATTACATAATTAATAAAAATTCCTTTAAAATCAACAATTTCTTGATATTGAATTGCATATCTTTTTTTTTCTTGTAAAATATGCTGTTAGATTTTGTATTGGTATCTCAGTTAAAATAAAATGAGTTCTATTTATAGCTCCATAACATTTTGAAATCCACCAATATTTTGAAATCCTGTATAAATAACACTTCGATTATTGTCTTTAAGCTATTGAACAAATTCTGATTTTTATTTCTTATTGCTTTCATTACACAATTAACATAAAGAATTACAAAACTTTTTGATATTCCAAATTGAGAACAAATACTCATGATATCATCTTTAAAACCAAGTCGTCGAAGAAATATTGCTAATTAAAAATTAACAGATGCTTGTGGCTTATTTCTTTTGTCTTGAAATACTATATCATATTGTAAGATTTATACTAGCCTATATTAAATTGTTATTTTTCCATTCTTAATACTTTTTTATATCATATATCATTATATAAAGGTAAGATTTTCTACCAACAATGTTTAAATTTAATAATATTATATGTTCGAAAAATAAAATAACAACTAGAAGATAAAGCAAGAAGAACTATTTTTATTAGTTCATAGTTATCATCATCTAGTTCATTTAGGTTTAGTTCATTTTTAAAAGAATCATCTATCTCCTCCATTATTAATAAGAATAAAGCATAGTCTGCATCGTGTTTAATTGACATGATTGGTTAAAATTTAAAAATGGAACAGATCAACTCAGCATTTATCTGTTCAGACCAAAGTGGAACAGAATTGAACAGGGCTAGTATGTATTGGAAAAAAAATTTTTTTTTCCTATTAATAGTCAATTCCGAAGGTGCAAAGAAGGGAAATACATGTGTAGCGATTATATCCTGCACCTTATGATGAGACAGACATTACCATCAGAAAAACATGTACAGTGCCTGGTCCTTTTGGAAGATAAATTTAAACGGATGCTGATCCTATCCTGCTTCTGCGCAATTTTGACAAGCCCGTTCATCAGTATTTCTTGTAGATCATGTTTCTATTTTACAATTATCATATGACACAGGGTGACTTTTTTTTTCTCGGAAAATTTTGGTCAGAATTTTGACTTTATTAATATATCATGCCAAATTTCTTACCCAACAATCAGGACAATACAGCTTATAAGGAGCTGAAAGGCACTTTGTTAAGGCAGAACTACTTTGAAAAATGGTGTATAGAAGCATGGTTGTAAGGTTTGTGAAAAATGCGATCATCACTCACATCTGTATTGCAAAAGGTGTAAGAAGGTTGCGAAAGGAATTTATAAGCAATGTGAATGTTTCAAGTAATTGGATTAATAAAACAATGGTGCAAATTTACCAGACGGTTATAAATTTTTTTGCATGGAGTAAGTTATGGGATTGTGTGAAGCAAAATGTGTGCTATTATTTTTTTGATCAAAGTTTTGATAAGTAAATGCACAGTAAATTATAGTAAACGTCACTATTACGGAAATATGTAAATTGCGCAAAATAATTTATTCTCAAACTTTCTTAAAATTCTTATGTATATTATTATTAAAAAGATGATCTTTACATATGGGTAGCATCAAAGTTTTTTATTGTTAAATTAAAGGAGAAGCTGTTGATCAGATTTTTGTGATGCGTTTATATTAACGTAATTTTTCCCAAAAGCGTATTCCAAAATCGATCCTGGAAGTTATATAAAAAGGTAATGTCCCTGTTAGTGAATCCTTTTATCCGCCTTGCACAAGTAAAACAAAAAAATTCAAACAAACCAAGCTTACCATTATTAAAATCATTGATATTAACAATCAAACGAACTCGTATTTTCCGCAAAATAATAATAAAGTAAGTTGTTTATTGCTCGGCTAACTTCTTGAAACATGCCATCGTGATGTTTATCGATTTTCCACCTTTATAGATGTTCCAAAATAAAACAGACGTATTACTCTTGTTATATATCGGCATTTTGATCTTCACCGAGAAAATCTGACTGGCGATAAAAAAAATCGACATACCTTTATTATAACACTCTAAGCAACAAATTTTCTAAATACAAGGCGGGATGGAATGTTGTGAAAATGGATCGTAGTGGTAAGTGTGAATCGGAAATATTATTATTATTTTTTTTTTTTTTACATCAGTTGCTAATCTTCCGAATTTATGCTTGTAGATTCGAACTTACTTAATCTCGGAGAAGTTTGCTTGTGGAAAATAATCTTTTATATAGTCTGTGCGGGTGAGAGTGATATAGATAAACGAAAATTCTGTAGATACGTGCGGGAAAATTTATTTTGTAAATCTAGCATAATAAAAGAATGTGGGGTGAGAATCTCGTAGTTAGTAATAGTGATAGAAATAAATTAGGTGTAAAAGTTTATAAAAAGCCTGAGAGAGCAAAGACATAACTTGATCGCATTAAATGGCCTAGGATCCGCGTACTCCCTCCCTCATTGATAGCATCATATTTTTTCGTTTCTCTCTCTATCTCTTCTGAAAAATAAATAAGGTTTTGATGTGTTGTAATCGTGTATCAGAAAATAAATATTACATCAAAAGAATAAAGACAATGTGCAGATACTGATATATTTTGAGTATTTTTCTTGACAAAGAGGCTGATGACTATCAAGAGATAACTTGGATATCCACTGACTCATAACTTTACCGCCAATGACTGGGCCGACATAAAGCTATGGCGTCTCCTAAATATATGAAAGTATATAAGGGAAGGCCTCACCGCAAATGACTGTGCCGTCGCGAGGAACTTCAGCAAAGTCAGTGGATCAACTGCCGCCGCCGAAGACTGGGCCGACACGAACAGTTGTTAGCCTCAAGCAACATATAACTTCACCGCCAAAGACTGGGCCGACGCGAAGCTATAGCTTCTCCTATATAAAAAATAGGAGAGAAGGCCCCATCGCCTTTGACTAGGCCGACATGAGGACTTTAGCACAGTTGCACTCTCTCTGCAAGCATTATAAACAAAAATCGAGGTATCGAAGTTACTGATAATTTTCCGGTTAATTAATTAGAGTGATACGACCTTTTCGTATTACTTTGTGTCTCGCGTACGCATTCTATTTTTGACATCTCTTCAACAATTTTTTCAACTCTCTTCTTTTTTTTGTTAATACTAAGAATGACTGCAGTATTAAGATCGAGATTGCATCTGAGCTACTTGGTGCCTGTTAAAGAAAAAGACATTAATGATTATTTTAAGAAAGTAGAAGCTCGAAACTGGCAATTGAAACATTACTTAAACCACCGCTTGAAAACTGAAAGCGAAATTCAAACATGGGTGACGGTCTATGATGATTGGCTGAGATCGCTCAGAATTATTAATGAGAACAAATTTAGAACGCTCCGTCCTCTATATGTGCATTTTGTCAAGAACTATTGAAAATTAGTAATACCTATGAAGGTTCGCTTGTTCTAAAAACTTCTATGAAATGGTATGAAGATTTCTATGAACGAAACTTTAACCTACAGTTTACCGAGAGATCTAAACAACTAGAAGAAGATATATTGAAGGCAGAGAAAAATATTTTTTCTAATCATAAAATCGCAGAACTTTTACAAGACAATCGAAAGAGAAGAGTAGAAAAAACGGAGGATCAATCACAATATTATCAAGACCGATCTCAATCACCATATAGAGACAACAGTACTTTTGCCGGGTCATCTAAGGTAGGAGAAGTAGTTGTATATTTCTGTAAAATTCTTTCTACTTACTTATCTGTCCTACAGAGTGTTCTACCGCAATCTTCTACGAACGGTGATGCAAAAGGCGAGGATTGTACGTCATCCATTGCATCTCTCGATTCACAGTATTTTAACGGTGATGACACCAACTTCATTAAACAAGCAACTGTAAAAGGAAAACAGAGATGTATACAGGAAGGTGACGGAAAAAATGTAAACATAGAACAGACTATCGAAGATTCACAGGGAGTTAGAGCAGAAGATGAAAGCGAGAAAGTTGGTATAATTTGTTATGATTACTTTCTGTCAGTATTGTGGCAAGAAGGTGATTTTTTATCCATTTGTATAGACAATGTGTGTTAAGAATATTCTTGCGGACTCGATAACAACTTCAGAGGTTGAAAAGGTTCTCACGGAATTCTTTTTTAAAAACTTTCCTAATACACCGATCATGGATTTACGTCCGAAGTCAAAGCTTTCATTATCTCTGGATACTGACCTTCAAAAAAATATTTTACATGAAATATTTGATAATGTTGATAGTAATTACATTACAGATGAGGTCCACGAATATCTAACGGCATTTTTCAATGAGGATCATAGTGTTCAAGGCTGGGGTAAAGCTATCAACAATATAATCATCAATAATGATGATTCGGAGATAATAGCAAACACAAAAAAATTAATAAAGGAAACCATGCCAAAGTTGTAAGTAGAGAACTTCAATGTAATTTATTCTGTTAGAGAATTTTATCCGATTTACTATTCACTCCATATAGCTTAAAAGCATTTTCGTTAGCGTCTCTTAACCCATTAAGAGACATAACAACTCTAGAAAAGCCACACTTGAACCAGTTCGTTCACCCAATTATTGACTCGGCGTTGTGGATTTTTGCGAGTGTCAATTATATATAGTAAGTTAACTTTCATTTATTGCATCGATCGCATTGATGATTAAAGGTGCTTTGCATTGTACAGTGGCGAAATACCATTGAAAGGTCTTAAAATTAAAGTACGAGCTGACGGTGTAGGGTTTCTGAATGACGTTATTAATTATCCCATTATCTGTGGTGAAGGAGCGAGACCTGGAGCGCCACAGCAAAAAAGTATTGATGACGATATAAAAAATGCAAAAAGTATGGCGGAACTTTATAATAATATTGTCATTTTAGAGGCTGATGCTCGTCGACAATTATTTACGGATTTGAGAACATATGGAATTACTGCGTTCAATACTGAGGTCTCGTTGACTATGATGGATTTTTGTAGTATGTGATGTAAATTTGGTTTGAAATACTGCGTATAACTTAAATATTAATATATTCAAATTTTCAGGCACACACAGATTGTTCGAAGTCGATCATTTTGGCCTACCAAAGGATTGGGTTGATATGCCCAATTTTGTGTGGTTATATGAGACGGTAATAAAATGGGCGGTAAGTACTCTTATATGTTCTTAATTTGCATGTGATATGTTCAACATTGAATCAATTTACCGTATATAAATATAGTTATGCGTTAATGCAACACGTGGTGCGTTAATTGATCATAGAAAGAAAAGAAGGGTAGGCCGATACTCAGAAGCAATCAATGCAAAAAAATTATCACGATTAAGAAAGTAATATTTTATCGCTGTACTTTATATATACCTTAATAAAACAAACATATGTCATTGATATTAAACTATACTTGACATCAATCATATCCGAAAAATGTGCTAGTAGGGATAACAAGGAAAGCATATTATTTAGGCAATCGTTCATTAATATCTGTGTCTCACCTAGAAAAAATTATTTGTATAATCATTTACCTGGTGAAAATGATCTGCGGAGTCAATAAGAGTTGGGTCACATGATTTCGATACACATTCCATGTAATCTAACCGAAATATTGGATATCGCACAAATATGATTATCATCTGCTAACTTCTGCTACTAAATTTTGATATGTACAGTGGGATATCAAAAGTCACCGGGCACTTAAAAATTAGAAAATCGACGGAAATGGTTCTTTCAAATAAAACTTTTTATTTTATTAATTTAATCACTTTTGGAATAATAAGTAAAGTTATGCGCCATAACGAATTGCATATAATTTAAAGTTTTTATAGATATCTGATCAGTAGTAAAATATATATTATTCATTTAACGTGATATTTTCGTGTTTTAATACAAAATTTCAGTCATAAATTTTTTCAGCTATAATCATTTTTATTCATTAAGTAAACTTGTTCGTCAAATTAAAAATAAATTTCTGCCAAATTCAGATTAATTACATATAAACTTGATGAGATCGACTTGATTACAGTGAAGTTATTAAACGTCACGTGATATATCTATCTTTTTTTAAATTTAATACTACATTTATCAAATGATCTCCATGAGAATAAATGCTTAATGAATAAAAATGATTATAGCTGAAAAAATTTATGACTGAAATTTTGTATTAAAACACGAAAATATCACGTTAAATGAATAATATATATTTTACTACTAATCAGATATCTATAAAAACTTTAAATTATATGCAATTCATTATAGCACATAACTTTACTTATTATTCCAAAAGTGATTAAATTAATAAAATAAAAAGTTTTATTTGAAAGAACCATTTCCATTGATTTTCTAATTTTTAAGTGCCTGATGACTTTTGATATCCCACTGTACATGTTAAAAACTATTCTTCTGATTAGCTGATCATCTCATGATTTATAGAAACTCGCTAGCTCCTAAAATTGCAATATATGAATCTTGACTTATCACATACATTAATCTTGACTCAATTGTCAATCACTATATAAATAAACAATTGTTTTATAATAAGATCGGCAAGAAGGCCAAGTTTCACCTGCATATAGGTCAAAATTCATATTTTTGTTCTAGAACTATCAACGAACTGGCAGGGATTTAGGGTGATCACATGTAATACAAATTTTAGTCGAAGGCGTTTAGCTGTTCATGGTGATCATGCTAATTTAGCCAAATTAAAAATATGAATTTATTTTCACCTGAACAAAAAGATAATCGAATAAAATATCAGATTCATTTTTTTATATTAGAGAAAGAAAAAACTCAATATATAGAATATATCTAATTGTTTCTCATATACTGATTAATTATTACTGAAGGGGATTCATATTCATTATAATATTAATTTTATAATATTTTATGTAAATTCTCATGAAGATTGTGGGTATATCTGTTTCATTACTAGACATAATTACCATTTCCAATGTTCGTAAAGTTTTATATGTTGCTTGATTAGTTAAGCTTATTTAATTTCTATCAGTTTCATTGCAAAGATGACATATGGCAACATATTTATCTGAAACTCATATATAATAATGTGTTTGTTGAAGTTTATCTATAATATCTTTGAATGCTATTTCTGTATATTGGTAATACATACCTGATTGATCTTTCAAAGCTAAATATATAGCAAGATCTACTCCTGAATAATAATGTTTATGTATATTATATATCATGAATTTTTATACCATTATTGAACATTGATTAAATAATCTATAATTCAATTTTTTATATAATTGCTCTTTTCGTCATCCATTCATCTCGAAAAAATGATCTGATATTTATTAGAGTATAATATTGTTAAATTAGCTAAAATCACTAAAAACACTATAAATTAATAAAATCGTTATATTCTGTTATAGTCTAGCAAAACACTAATATGGATTTAAATAGTAAAACCTATTCTAAGCTACATCAAGTAAGCTATGATAATATAAACTTTGAAGGATATATGGGAGCTTTGCTATTAAAAGTGGGTTCTGAGACTATAAATTGATTTTGAGTTAAATGATGATCAAAAAATA